TAGGAGCCCTGCGAGGGGGCAAATCCACATGAGAGAGAAAGAGAGAGAGAAGCACAAGTGCCTCTCTCTGTCTCTCTCTACAAATGGCGGAGGACGCTCGGAGCTGCAGGGGAAGGCTCAAAAGTGTCCCCAAAACATCTCGCTCCATCGCCCCCCTATCGCCCCCTTTTCGTTCCATCGCCCCCACGCCGCCCCTTTTTGTTCCATCGCCCCCCTGAAAAATGAAATCGCCCCCTGGGGGGCGGTACCGCCCAGGTTAAGAACCACTGATATAGGCTATTATCCTATAGGATTCCACAGTTCTCACTATATTTTAGCAATATTTTATATGCATATTTTCTTATTAATTCAACATTTCCCATATTTTAATTTCTACAAAATGAAAATCATTCATATTTTGTTTAAAAGATATGTCTCCAAAATACCTTGAGCTCTTTACTAACAATATCTTACTTGTCCTTGTAATAACTATACTTGTCATTTTGCAACAAGGGTGATTTCAAACGGTATTACCCATATTATTTGCTGTGTAGTAGAATCTAGACTTCATTTATGTACTGATGTTTAAGTCAGGAAGCCATTTTACAGTCTACAAGTCTGGGAATGAGCAATTTTTATTTACCTGCTTTTTCAGATTATAATTACAAAGTTTTTCAAAAATAAATCAACTAATGTTCAGATTGGTGTGTTTCTTTCTGCAAGTTTGAGATGTATGTGTTGTTCTACCTCTGTTTAGGTTCATTTCGTGATTACCCATCATTTTCTGCCTTTTTCAGAGAAAATTATAGGTTTTCTTTTTCTAACATGTTAACAATACTTTTCACTGTAAGTATGTATTAAGTCTTAATTGTTAGAGGAAGGAACAGAAAAACCTGGGGAAATAAGATAAACTGAAATTGCATCAAGAATTTTGACATGTCAAATTCCTGAAGTCTGGCTTGGTACTAGTAATAGTGTAAATATAAGTAACTCCTTTAGGAACATTCACAATTATTTTCATGTTTACCTAATTTTAACCTTGCAGCCAAATTATACTTGCATCTGTGATGATGGCTGGATGTCGCCTCCAAGGAGCCTTGCTTGCAATGCTGACATTGATGAATGCAGCCTTCCGAACCCACCCTGTTCAGTGAATCCTCCTGTACGGTGTGTCAACATGCCAGGCTTCTATTTCTGCGATCCTTGTCCAGCCGGTGAGCAATATTTCTTAAATGTCCTCTCATTTGTTTCTCATGGGGATTAGCATTGGCATTATAAGGAGTTTCATAGTGCCACCATCTTGGCCTTTCTTCCTGAGATGTTGTTTTCAAACTGTATATTGCTTTTTTTGGGGTATTCCTTTAAAAATAGTAGCTCTCCATATGAGAACTGGAGTGATCTTGTCTTGGGGAAGAATAACTCCTGTTTGGCCATATTCCAACATGACCCTAATCTAGCATTTTTTAAAACGAGATTTGACAGCTGGGAAGGAAATGGTTATTGCTGCCAAGATACTAATGAATTTGAAACAGGTAATGAAAGTTGTGCATCTTCTCCAATTGTTGTCTTAACACACTAGAATATTTCTATTGTAGTCACTGTCCACCAGATAAACAAGTCTATACAGTTAGTCTTCGACTTATGACCACAATTGAGCCCAAAATTTCTGTTGCTAAGTGAGATATTTTTTAAGTGAGTTTTGTCCTATTTTACAACCTTTCTTGCCACATTTGTTAAGTGAATCACTGCAGTTGTTAAGTTAGTAATTTGGTTATTAAGTGAATCTAGCTTCTACATTGATTTTGCTTGTCAGAAGGTCACAAAAGGGAATCAATCACATGACCCCAGAATACTGCAACTGTTGTAAATATGAGTCAGTTGCCAAGCGTCTGAATTTTGATCATGTGAACATGCAGATACTGCAGTGATCATAGGTGTGAAAAATGGTCAGAAGTCATTTTTCAGTGCCATTGTAACTTTGAATGGTCACTAAAACATTGTAAGTCGAGGACTATTTGTATTAGTTAATTAGGTTCACTTTATATTAGTGTGTGTGTGTGTGTGTGTGTGTGTATGTTTATATATCTATCAATCCATCCTTCCTTTACAAATCTGGAAGAAATATATTCTTTTTAATTTTCTTGTCCGTGTCTCCATATATTTGTAAAATCACCCAAACACACATGACTGTATTTATATGATGCAAAAGTGTTTCCATACTGGTTATTAGAGGAACAGTATTTTTTCCTTTCTTAATCTAGCTCTTGAAAACATGGTGTTATACCTCTTCCGTTTGAACTTCTTGCTCATCTGAATAGATTATATTCACTCACCAACATGAATTTTTTCATCCTTGATATCCACGTAATAAATTGTTAAATCTAAGAATTATATCTAATAAATTGAAAAGCACAATATTTTTTGAATTGATTGTCTTATATAAGCTATTGTTCCAGTTGGTACAATAGCAGAAGCTTCGAACAGAAAGATTAGCAGATCACAAGACAGAGTATCTTTTCACAAGGATGCTCAGTATCAGAAGTTGGAATTACTAGGCCTTTGCGGAAGTTCAGATTACAATAACAGAATGATTGGCTATCAGGGCTCATTAGCTTGTTACTGTTCTTCTATTCATTGCCAATTGAAAATTCACTCCATCATTTTAGCTAGAAGACCGTTGATAAATAGTACTGTATGAAACAAGGGAAGTAGTTGGCATTGCCTGTTATTCTTAGGAAAAGATTTAAATGGGGAACAGGTCAACCACTGAAGAAAGAAAAAGATGTTGTTGAGGACATCTTGTTCAACAGATCTTGGCCAACTCTCTGCCTTGTACACTTAACAATCACAATGGTGTAAGAACAATACAGACAAACTCGGTTCAGAAAAAGGACAAACGTTGAGGAGAAGATGACCATAGGTTTTATAGATCTTATAAAAAGAAAATGAAGAATCAAGCATGCTTAACTATGAGAAGAGAAAACTGCAGGAGGGTTAGGGGTCTTCAAAAATCTTGGAGGAAGTCAACTGTATTTTAATCCACAGTTGAAGGTTACCAAATTATTTGCATGCTCTGTTTATGGAACAATTCATCAAGCTGTGTTCCAATAGATATCACCATGTTGTTCTTTGTTAATGCATCTTGTGTTAGTATAGCAACTGGTATTTTGGCAGAGACACAAGGATGTCTTTAATCAATGAAGTAAAGTGCTGTATTTAATACAGTCAGAGTCATAAGATTTGATTCTGCTGATCACATTTCCTCCTGATTTATTTACTATTTATATACTACTGCAAATTAATTTAAATGGCTTCTACTGATGTCAGGGGAATCTGAGCCTCTTCCTAGAATGTAGAAATGTGTGCAACAGTTTGCTTTTGGCAAAGATATAGCTTCCCTCAACACTGTGGTCTAAAAGAAGTATTTATGTTTATTTCACCATCACATGCCATCACTGCTTGATAGGTTTACTGTTTTCTTTCACCCAGGCTATGAAGGTGATGGGAAAATATGCACATTGGTTAACATATGCTCAGTCAACAATGGGGGTTGCCATCCACTTGCTGTATGTAACAACATATCAGGTAATATTGAAAACAATGGCACTAGTTTTGTATAAAGGCTATAACTAGGCAGCAAAAATTTCCCTTTTTTGCTTATCTAAAATATTGTTTTTCAACTTGAGGAATTTGAAGAACTGTAGACTTCCAACTCCCCAAATTTCCCCCAATATTCTGGCTGGAAAAATCAGGATTGTAACCCACATATTCTAAAGAAGATTGAGATTGAAAAAAATAGATCTTCAAGACAAGATTGTACCCAATTTCCATTCTGTATATAGAAGTTGGCAGTTATATCTTAACTTCCAGAATACTGAACTGGTTCATCTGATTAAGTTTAGAGTACATAGGGCAGGCCATATAATTGGCACAACTGTATCCTTCAGGTGGGCCAGCCTTCAGCCAAATGAGATAAGAGCTAATCCTCAAGGCTGACCTTGGAGGAGCAAACTCAATTAAAAGAGAAGATTATGAAACTGAACTGGAATCCTGAGAATCCTGCTTCAAATCCCTATTCAGCCAAAAGGCATATTAGGTGATTTGTTACCTTCTGTGGCTATGAAGGCTTGGGAGGGTAAAATAGGAAGGAAGAAAACCATGCTTACCCTTTAAGCTCTTTGGGCAGCAGATGGGACTTATATGTGGCAAATAAAATACAAATCAACAAATACAGTAATAATATTGTTCAATATCTGGCATATAGCCATGGTGGCATGATGGTTAGAATGCAGGATTGCAGGCTAATTCTGCCCACTGTCAGAGTTCGACCCTGACTGGCTGACTCAGCCTTCTATCCTTCCAAGGTTGGTAAAATGAGGACCCAGATTGTTGGGGGCACTATGCTGACTCTGTAAACTGCTTAGAGCAGCGGTCCCCAACCTTTGCAACTTGGCAGTCGGCTGGGGAGGAGGAGGGGGGGAATTGGGCCGCACAAGTGGCAGGCTGGCAAACGTGCATGTGCATGCACACAGTCCTTGTGTGAGTGACGGGTTGGCGCACACATGCGCGAGTGCCCTCCAGCCCCCCGCTCATGCAAATTGAGCTGCGTGCATGCTCTGGCCATTCACTTGCATGGTCCAATTCCGAATAGGCCAAGGCCCAGTAGTGGACTGCAGCCCAGGGTTTGGGAATCCCTGGCTTAGAGAGTGCTGTAAGGTACTGTGAAGCAATATATAACTGCTATTGCTATTGCTTTCATAATGCTTCACATTAGCTAATGTGGCTACTGACTCTGGCTGGCCAGACATCTTCCCCCTTGGCATTTCCTATTACTTTCTTCTCTGTTCACAGCTCTGGCCTCTTCATTCTCTGGCATGGATGCCACTGTAATCTGGGTACTCTCAGATAATGCCACTGTAATCTGGGTACTCTCAGATAATGAAAAATTGTGGTGTTATTAAAGGAGCAGTGCAGAAAATAAGGATGCCAAAAGCAAATTCAGATGATTGTTTTGACTTCCTGCCTTTTTTATTTGTAGGCCCTGTACCTAATTGTGTTTGCCCAGATGGATACACTGGAAATGGTTATGGTTCAAATGGATGTTTTGCCCTGAGCACCATATGCCAAACACATAATCCTTGTGTAAATGGACAGTGTCTTGTATGTGTTTTTAAAACAGTGATTTTTTTTAACTTCATTAAAATATTCAGTATTAAATATTCAGCTCTGATGTTAAACTTGATTATATAGACTTGTACTTTCTAAGACCACATCTATCTTATCAATAGATATCCAAAATGTTATTGATCAATGTATTATTATTATATAAAGTATATTATAGCATTATTGTGCCAATAATATATTACACTGCATTATTATATTAACTATAGTATATTCCTTAGTATCTTCCCAATTATATGTTGTCTGGATTCATATATTGCATTAAGCCAGGAGTAAGCCAAACTCAATTGTTTGGATTAGCAGTTATTAAAGCTTGGTATCTTCTAACAAACCTTTAAAAATGACAGAGCATCCCCACCCAGCTATAAGTCAGAAAAAAGCCAGGATTCTGGATTTAACACCAAACATGGTTAAATAACTGAGGATACACACACACACACACACACACACACACACACAGAGAGAGAGAGAGAGAGAGAGAGAGAGAGAGAGAGAGAGAGAGAGAGAGAGAGAGAGAGAGAGAGA